TTAATCCGCTTAATTGTAATGCTTTGTGTTTTTAATAAAAAGTATTAATTTGTGGTAAATGAAAACTGAATAATTTACTCTCCAAATAGAAATTGAATTACTTCTCACTACCAACATGATTATCATATTCCAAATGAATTTGAATATGAATTTTAGTAACGTCTTGTTTTTAAAATCGCTGAAAATCGTTTAAATTTGCTGTAGATTTATATTATAGTCTCTACTGCCCGCAATTTCAAACCCAAATACTCGATTTCTCTTTTAATTAAAACAGACTATATAACTATTTAAAGTTGTTTCCTTCCTAAGATATAAATGAATGAATTCTAAAAGAAGAGTTTAGTAAATTTCTAGTTTTCCTTTTTAAAGAGGGAAGAAATTATATAATTTAAATGTTTGGAATACACTGCGCGATCCTTTTAATTGCCGTTAATATTGCAAATAAAATATTCAAAGCCAACTTTTACCACCAAAAATTTAAATTAATTTTTGTATTAAACGTCCTCAAGGCACTAAATTCAATTTCACGAATATCCAAAATAGTCATTAAAAGAATATTATCTCGAACATCGATATTTCTTCTATCATTGAGTTTTCTTGTCCAACGACCCGTCGCTTTTCGCATTCACCACCATTCATTACTACCAGCCATGCTATTTCCAGTGTTCAAACACATTAACGTCATTACTACAATTTGATTTATTACTATTTACACTACGGTGTATACAACTACAATTTTTACCACTACAGTTTTTCCATGCTCATCACCAACACTCCTAAACCATTGAGAGCATCTAGAAAGTTTGTCTTCCAAATTGCGTCATTGTTCGAAATGTTTTAACTGTCATTTCAGTTTTGGGCATTTGCCACCAGATACACCATTTTTGTTCCTCAGCTTAAGCCACTTTCTGGCTTGTCTTCCAAAGGACCTCTCTCCAACTAGCCTTAATCTTCATTTCCAATAATTGATATCTTCCCCACTTTTTCTTTCACTCTTTCTCAGTACTCAATGTAACATTTTCCATTTTATCACCAAATCCTCTAACTTGTTCATCTCATTGTTTATTAGGGCATAATTTCTCACTTTTCATAGTACTCTTATCCAATGTCGCTGTCTCCCGTTCAGCTTCCATTTGTGTAATATTTTTTCTTAATTCCTCGTTTTCCACATCAGTTATGAGTCAACGTCTAGCAATGCAGCATTTCATGTTTCATTTTTCTTTCCTCCACCCATTGGAGCGTTAATCGCCCCCCCCCCATCGATGCCAGGAGTAAACCTCGTTTATCTGACCACCATCCCTCATAGTGCTTACTCCACCTCATATATAACATAAATTCCTTCCTCCGCCTCAGCATTCATTATGGTTCCCATTCATTTACACCTGTACCATGCCCACCTCCACCTCTGGCACCGTCCAAACCCCTGTATCCTCCTCTGCCTTCTCGTTCCAACTCTGCCTCCTCAACTTTACACCTCCGTCTCTTCACCTTGGAATTCGCTTCTGCCTCCATCTCCACTTCCCCCTCCAGATACACTTCCACTAACGCCCATATATCGACCGTCTGTTACTCTGTCTCTGCCTCTCTTTCCGCGTCACCATTGCCTTCACCTCAATTTTCCCCTCCACCTCCGTATTTGCCTTTACGCCCACCACCATTACCACATCCACCTCCATCTGAACTCATCTACCTCACCTTTCTATCTCCATGTGCACACTCACGTCCGCATCAAACTTCTACATTAACATTTATCTCCGTCTCCATATTTGCTTCTATAGCTACGTCCACCCAACCCGAACCTTCATTTGCATATCGCGCACACATACACCTGCACTTCCACCTTCAAGTCCACCGTCAGCTCCATCCATGCCTAAAAGTTCACTTCCCGTTTAAGATTTTGCATCCATATATATCTCGACCTCAACTTCTTAACCTTCCTTTTTCCACCTCTGCCTCCTCCCCCTCTATAATCCGATGTTACCTCCCCGTTCACCTCCTCGTCTTCATCCACACCTACCTCTTCCACAATCACAACCTCCATTTATGTATTTTTTATTTACTCATGTCAAAAACAGTTTAAAACTGTGTGTGACGTGCTGTAGGGAGAAGTTCATTTGAAGTTACGTTTATGTCCAGAAGCAAAACAAGGGGCCATTACTGCATTTACTCGAGGATCAGGGAAACTGGACGAAAACCTGATCGAGATGGAGGTCATTGACCCAGAAGCTGAAGTACAATACTTGTTACAGGTTCTTTGCAATTATCCAATCCAAATGGTAAATAATTTATTAAATGTCATTGTTTGGATTAATATTAATTTCCTTTTGGATGCTCGGTATAGTGTCTAATTGTGTAGAAAAAGTTGTGCAGCAGAAAATATTTTACTTGGGACTTAAACTTTTGTATCGAATTTCATCTACTTCCCCTTTGCCTCAGCCTGCACATTGTGCGTACCAGCGTTTACCTGCATTTCTACTTTCACTTCACCTCTGAATTTCCCTTCGCTTCGCCTAGCCTGGGACTCCACATGCTCACCACTGAGCATTTTCCTTCGTTACTACCTCCACCTTCTCATCCAAATTCATTTCTATATCCCCGCCATCACTCGACTTCTCATTCAGCTGACCTTCACATTTTCCTTTGCCTCTATCTCCTCTTCGCCTCCTCCTTCACCTTCACTTTCCTTACCCTTCATTTGGGCCTCCACACTCACATTCAATTTGTATCCCTATTTGCCTTTGTTTACACCTATATCTGGCCTCTTCTTGTACCTCCACAATTTTCATTTTGGTCTGCGTGTTTCGGCTTCTTATTCGACCCACCTCCATCTCCATCCCTCGCCACCGACTTCCACCTCCACCTCCACCTCCACCTCCACCTCCACCTCCACCTCCACCTCCATCTTCACCTTCACCTCACATCCGACTCTACCTCCTCCACCGACTCCACCTCCATCTCCGATATCCACCTTCACCTTTACCTTCTCCTTCACCTTCACCTCCACCCCCATCTCCGCCTCCGCCTCCGCCTTTACCTCCGCCTTCACCTCAGCCTTCACCTCCCCATTGCTCTTCATTTTGGTCTCGGTGTGTGGACTTCTCATTCGACCTACCTACCTCTCCGCATTCACCTCCGCCTCTACCTCGGCCTTCATCTTCACCTTCACATCCACCTTCACCTTCGCATTTTCCTTCATTTCAGCCTCCACCCCCACCTGCACATCCACTCCAACATCCCCCTCCGTCTGTGGACTTCTCATTGGGCCCACCCCCGGCGCCGTCTGAGTAATGGGCGATCACGGAAATTGAATCGGTGTGGAGAAATGAAGCGAAGGCCGAGCGCGCGTCCTTCCATCTTATTGACTGGGCGAGGCCTGCGCCGCCCCGGTGCCCGCAGCAGCCGCTGGCGCTGCCGCAGCCTCTGCCGCTGGCGCTGGCGCTGGCTCCGCCGGTAGGGCTAGCTGCGTTCAAGAGAATTGCGTGGACATGCCCGCCGCCGGCTCCGGTTTTAACCCACCTGTGTAAAGGAAGGAAGAAAGGTTATGACTATTTCTGTGGTCTGCCAGTCTTTTCATCTTACTTAACTTTTGAAACAAGCAAGAGTTTTTTAACAGTTGCTTGCCAATTCCATTCAGGTACTCGGAGAATATCAATGCGGTGGAGGAGACGTTAAACCCCACGACAAATTGTGATGTAAATTGAGGTAATAGTTGCATTGACATTTGATGAATTTATTAGTGAGTCCGAACGTATCAACTGCTAAGGTCATTATTCCCGTGAGTATACAGCACGTGTTGCCCTCGGTGCACTCGGACATTTTGCAGTGATCTTCACCCGCTGGATAGCGAGATCAGATTGCGACCTACGCCGGCTAGCCGGGTTTACCCCCACCAGGTGTCTCCCACTAGTGGGCACCGACGGGAGAAGATCTAAGCTTCCGACCGGTCTCCTGATGTGTAGTAAAATACATTCGACGCTTAAGAACCAAAATGTAGCAACATGTAACAATAATTTTCTGAAGATTTATGTTAAAAAATTTCAGAACGACAGTGATATACGAAGTCTGAACTTTTTCTATTCTTGCGATCCTATCTTCGTGTAATTGTGATGGTCACATACTTTTCTTGAAGAGGTGGTTCAACATGCGCTCTGTTGATGCAATTGTACAATAGTTTTATTCTTCAACAAACACTGAAATAATATTGCAATATATTTATTGGCTGACCTGGATATAAGAGAACGCCAGTATTTCTAAGAAAACGATTGCGCATGGCGAAGGCTTCAATATTTGTTTTGTAAACATTCGATAAGCTTTGAAAGGATAAATCATTAAAAATACTTCAAAAACGGTAGAGTAATTGAAGTCCTCAATGATGAAACAGTAACTACTTACCTAAACAAAGAAAGGGAAAAAACTACGCTGATATCCTAATAAAACCATTTTCCGGACGTCTGTTGCAACCTCTTAAGGGCCAAATGATGAACATTTACCTTTTACATCGTTCCCTGAGAGGAACTTTGTGATGCAGTGGAGATTTTGTCTGCGCGCTCGAAGTTTCAATCCACCAGTCAGAAGGAAGGAGGTTGTGTTTACCATTGATGATTGACCATCGTTGAGAAAATCAATGGATTTGAACGATGTAATGTCTCAACGATATATTTTTACTGTATACTCTACAATGTTACTGTCGGGTCAAGTGCTACTAAGGCTTTAGGCCAAACAACGAACGTAAGACTGCTATGGTAGAAACTAGCGATTCTGAGTATTTTTAGGGTTTGTTTTTGATAACCTCTCTCTGTAGTTAACTATGCAGATTTTTTAACCCACCCGCGAGGAAGAACTATCGCCTTAGTGAGTTTCTTCCGAATCTCAGAACTTATTAACCAACTTTTATATTTGCGATCGAAAACCCAGACGGTACATTTTCAACGTGAGTGTGTGATACTGACTGTAATTACGTTTCGGACAAGCAGCATTACTTTAATGGGCCGCCAGAAAGAATGATTGGTCTCCTTTCCCTGCATCTTGACCGTAGGTATGTAGCGGCTAAGCACTGTCTTAGATCATCATGACCCTGGCGATCTTGGTCTAAACATCTACCTTTCAAACTTTCCAATACTTCGTTTCGAATGTCTACACACGTCTGCTGACGTAATAAAATTCACAAGAATTCCTAATAAGACAAAACACCGTTGAAATTGTCTAACCCCTTTCTGGGGGTTAGGCAAATACTATATAGAGTTAAAGGGAACTATACCTTTTGGGCCAATGAATGGATTCATGCCACCGAGAAATTTTGAAATGCGAGCGATACAGGAGCGGGCGAAGCTAACCACTGCGGTGAGTGTCAGGAGGACGAGGCGTCGAGACGGGAGGATGGGGAGAGGGCGTGGCAGGGGCGTGAGAGTGGGTTTGTCTTCGGGCTTCGAGGCCGCGTGTCGGTGTCCGTTGAGGGGAGACAATGAGGATTGGGATCTGCGGTGAGACATCGGGAGCTTGGAAAGTGCTTTCCCGCCGCCGCAAATGTCTTTGGTGAGTGCGTGACCGAAATTGCACTGCGACTCTCGTGGTCCGTCTACCGCATTGTCGCATCGCCCGCTCCATCTGCCATTATTTCTCTTCCTATTTTTATCATCCCTTTTTATTTCCCCCTCTCTCTCTCTTCTTCCTCCACTTCGCTCTCTCTTCCACTTTACCTCTCCCTCTCTGCCACATTCCATCTATCTCCCTCCCTCTCTGTCTTTTCCCCCGTTTCCCCCTTTCTCTCTCTCTCTCTCTCTCTCTCTCTCGTGTGTGTGTCTCTCTGTGTCTCTCTGTCTCGCTGTCTGTCTGTCTCTCTGTCTCTGTCTCTCTGTCTCTGTCTGTCTCTCTGTCTCTGTCTGTCTTTCTGTCTCTGTCTGTCTCTCTGTCTCTGTCTGTCTCTGTCTGTCTCTCTGTCTCTGTCTGTGTGTCTGTCTCTCTGTCTGTTTGTCTGTTTCTCTGTCTGTTTGTCTGTCTCTCTGTCTGTTTGTCTGTCTCTCTGTCTGTTTGTCTGTCTCTCTCTGTCTGTTTGTCTGTCTCTCTCTGTCTGTCTGTCTCTCTCTGTCTGTTTGTCTCTCTCTGTCTGTTTGTCTCTCTCTGTCTGTTTGTCTCTCTCTGTCTGTTTGTCCGTCTCTCTCTGTTTGTTTGTCTGTCTCTCTCTGTTTGTTTGTCTGTCTCTCTCTGTCTGTTTGTCTGTCTCTCTCGGTCTGTTTGTCTGTTTCTCTCTCGGTCTGTTTGTCTGTTTCTCTCTCGGTCTGTTTGTCTGTCTCTCTCTCGGTTTGTTTATCTGTCTCTCTCTCGGTCTGTCTGTCTCTCTCTCGGTTTGTTTATCTCTCTCTCGGTTTGTTTATCTGTCTCTCTGATTGTCTGTCTGTCTCTCTGATTGTCTGTCTGTCTCTCTGATTGTCTGTCTGTCTCTGATTGTCTGTCTGTCTCTCTCTGATTGTGTGTCTGTCTCTCTCTGATTGTGTGTCTGTCTCTGTCTGATTGTGTGTCTGCCTCTCTTTCTATCTGTCTCGCTGTCTGTCTGTTTGTCTGCCTCTCTGTCTGTCTGTCTCTCTGTATGTCTGTTTGTCTGTATCTCTGTCTGTTTGTCTGTATCTCTGTCTGTTTGTCTGTATCTCTGTCTGTATGTCTGTATCTCTGTCTGTTTGTCTGTATCTCTGTCTGTATGTCTCTCTCTGTCTGTATGTCTCTCTCTGTCTGTATGTCTCTCTCTGTCTGTATGTCTCTCTCTCTGTCTGTATGTCTCTCTCTCTGTCTGTATCTCTGTCTCTCTCTCGCGCTCGCTCTGGCAGTTCTGTTACGACCATCGCGACACGTCATTTCGTCACATAGAGTCAGCATTTCGTCACATTTCAGCAGCGAGAGTCACTAAATGTACGAAATCCTGTAGCAATTCTACCATTTTTAAAATGACTATGGAACGTTGGTTTTGTACGTGCAAATAGCGCCAATTATGGTTTTGTTAATGATTGTGGAGGTAACTATGAGAGGTAATACAGTTCTTCACGTGTATATATAAAGCACTAATATTGGTTTTTGTATTCCTTTTTTCAGTTATTTCTCCCTTCCCAGTGTTAATATAGTGCTGCAGCAGATAAGTGCGGCTGTTTCTTCCTGGGTGAGTCTCGTACGATATTTCCGGTGTTTACCAGCTTGTATGAAAAGTCAGTAAAGGTGTTTTATTTTGTTTCTGCCGTTAAACCGCTATTCTTCATATGACGAGATTATAGAGTTATATCATCTGTCACTTATCTCTCTTTAGAAATTAGCGGTTTAAGTTTAGTATTTTGTAACATTTACTAAGATGTTTGTTCACCTTTGCGAATTTTCAATGTTGTAACACGCCTTCTTTACTCATTAATTTGCAAAGTAGGATGCCAACGAGAATGCAGAAATTTACGTTATGTCAATATCTAAAATAGCAATTTTAAAGATAATTCTGAATATTTATTTACAAATGTTTGTCTAATATCCATCAGAATACATTTTTTTAACTTTATATATAGATCACGTGAAATACACTCATTGAAGCAAACGCTGTGTGATATGTAAAATTCAATTGTTACATTTAACTAAAAAAAGCATTACTATCGGAAATGTATGTACCTATGAAGTGTAGAGATCTCTTTTCTCGGCAAATTTCTTTTTTGGTGACAGTATATGATATTGGTAACTCTTCAAAAATTAAAATACACATTTACTGTGTTAATTAATGTCTGAATAAAATTACAATGAAAATCATTTCTTTGTTGTCACGCCAGAGTACATGAATCATTTTTTTGGACTATTAAGTCCTGATTTCATTTAAACTTTCTAGCACACTGAGAGAAAGTAAATATAACGAGTTGTTCTCCGGCTACTACTTCAAAATGAGAGCCATGAAAATATCGTATGAGTCGCAAAAGAAAACGTATAACGACAGAGTATTCAATGTAATTTGTTTTCACATATTTGCACCGATATTATTACTGTATCAGTTTCAGTGCAGAAATCTTTAGCAAAAATACTTCTGGTTCCCTTTCGTTTGCTACAGAATTTGTTACCGGAATATTGGTAATCTTTTTAATGCACGTATGACTCCATTAACTTGGGAAGGATCGCGCGGGCGAATTTCGCCTCCAAGCTTTATTATTCCATGTGATGTTTTGTTTGAATGTTGCACTCTTGTGATTTTCAGCACCTGTGTTCTAATCTTATGCCTGCAAAATTGATTACTTGTCACCTGATGCAGTTGTTTGACAATTTTCAGAAACTTATCACGTGTGTATCTGGGTTCGCAAAGACCCGGCTTGCTCTCCTACGTTAGATACCAGTTAACAAACAGAGCCGTGACTACTTGGCTTCCCGATGACACCGCGTCGTTGGCTGAGAGGACGTCATATCGCAGGCTTCCTCAGGGCAGTGACTATTCAGGGTAATGAAGTAAAAGAAGGAGGAACAAGGACAATTATTCAGGGTCACTACCTTGAGGAAGTCAGCGATATGACGGTCTCTCAGCCGACGACGCGGCGTCACCTGAACAGCCAAGAAGTCATGAAACCGAGCCGCGGAAGTTTACGTGTTAAAATAGAGACAACTGGCGCACAGCCTACGTAGCCACTGCGATAGCCATTCATTTCCTGTTACACAATCCCAATAGGCTCTATCAGCTTCCAGAACGTTTAAAACATTATGAATACTGCCAGAAGTCGTCAGAAACAAAAATTGGAGATGAAAGTTTGCAACGTGTTCGCCATTGGTCTATTCTGAGATCAATACTAAAAGAATTGACGCCAAATATTTAAAATAGCAAAATATTTGTTAATGAAATAAACATAATTAGTAGTCGCTCCAAGAAAAAAACTAAGAAGAGAAGACGTGTAGTTTGTTCAATAAATTTGTACAAACCATCATGTTAATTTTAAAAATGCAAGAAAAAGAAGTAAGCAAATGACATTCTTTGTTTATAAAGTTTGTGTGTAAACAAACTAATTAGTAGGCTCTACACATATACTCTCAAATTAAAATTTACCATCTGTTAATGTTTATGGATCAGATTTTCATTATATGAAAGAGAAATAAATTATTTTTTCAAGCTTTTGATGAATTTTATTAATAAATTTATATAAAACACTACTCTAGAAATGAAGTTAATAATGTACCAGTAATTAAATACCAAATTATGTGAATTTATGAAGTTAGAAGACCATTGTGCAATGTAACTTTCTTTTAGATCAGTTTTTTTTTTAGGTAAGCAGTTACGTTCAAGACGAGACCTCTTCAGAGGGATTGTAAAAAGTCAATCTCGTGTAACATCTCTCGATCGTTTTCGTCTTGATGAGGGTTCATATCTTTGACTACCAAATTGCATAAGTTATTCAGGCTTACTTCTATAACTGTAAGTTGACGAAACTTTCTGTTCAACAATATTTAATCGATAATTTTCGTATATTTTTACTTCGATTTCCCTCTTCCGCTACCTACTGTAGAACACACTACGTTCTTGTCCAGCACTCACTATGTGCGCTTTTCTGCCATACCTCTTCTACCTCCTAACTCTGTCCTCAATGTTTTCACTTCTTCACCTCTTCTCCTTAGAGCTCAGTTTCTTTCCCGTCTGAACAAAATGTTCTGTTCCAGCATTCACATTCCCATTTATCTCCACTCCCTCACCTTTCATATCCATTCGTACCGATACGCTGTTTTCGTCATTACCACCCCCTCTCTCTTCCTCACCATCGCCATTATCCTTTTCACCTCCGACTCTCCCTCCTCCCTTCTACTAACTCTTCTCTTCCAAGTCACTCATACAACTCCCACCAAATCGCTTAGCAACTTCTATACCTTGTTTTCATTCCTCCCCCTGTCCCATAGTAGGCTTCAATCCCATACTCCGCCACCTCTTAGTCACCTCTCCAAATCCTACACGTCCTCACCCTCCAACTCTCCTAAATCCGTTTCTCTCTCCACCTTCACCCACGCTCTGCTTTTAACCCAACCTCCACACCCTTCAGCCCCCACCCGTCGCCTCCCGCACAGTCTTTGCTCTGCGTGTTTACTCGTTGAAACTAATATCGAGTGGTTCCTCTGTGCGGAAGCTGGCAAGCAAAGCTTCCCCGCAGCGCCCCGCCCCTCCCCTTCCCCTCCCCTTCCCCTTCCCCTCATCCCCCTCCCCCTCCGCTTGAAGCCACCTCCTCCCACCTTCCTCTTTCCGGCGGCTTCGCACACTCCGTTGCTTCTGATCTCTGCCCCTGCGCGCAGCCCGCCTGTGCTCGAGGAGATTCCTCCTGCAAAAGGTTGAAAAGCCAGAGGACGGGTTGGACGCCGGCGTTTCTAATGTTAATTACGGTGTGCTGCTGTAATTAAACACAATTTGAAAAACAGATGTTGTGTCTTGGAGATACGCTTGTGCTCAAGTTCAGGTTTAATAAAGTAAATTGTTTGTTGCGCCTCAAACGTTGTCGGTGATGTGAAGTTGATCAATAACAATTACATTTTACAATTAGGCGTCTAAAACGTTATTTTCCAAACTGCTTAAGACAGTCTTCTTAATTCTCAATCATACCTTTGTTCATCTTGTCTTTTGTTTCTATACAGGGACACGGACATATTGATCCCATACTGCCGTGGACGTTCCAATTCTTTCGTTATATCCGGTTTCTAGCTTTGTAGTTTCTCCTCTTCCTAAGTCGTGACGACAACGTATTGATTTGTTTTTGCGCCATACCACAAGAAGGGTATCAGAGGCATTTACACACGAGGTGTACACGATGTATAATTTTCGAGAGATATTGTAATTTCAACAAAACACGAAGGATACAAAATGTGAAGGCACACAGATCAGAGATGTGAAGTAATTAAATAAAAGTACAATAACATATTTTGTATTATTTTCGAAATCGGAACGCTCTTTAACACGCAACAGGAAAAGATTTACAATGGATACAAGCGTAGTTTATTTTCCTCTGTCGTTGTTTAGGTAAGGAGTTCCTGTTTTATCATTTAGGACTTTTAATGTTAGAAATATACAGAAAAGAGTTTTCACTCATCATAGAGAAAATAAATCTCTAATGTAAGTTCGAATATTCCTTAAGTGACAGTTCATTTTTGAACGCGTATGAGATGTTTACAAAACGAATTCGAAGCTGTCATCGTGCGTAATCGCATTATGGAAATTCTAGCTTACACGTGCGGCTTCCTCTTGTATTCCCATAGCTACATTGAAAAAGTCCGATGGCCCCACCTCTACCCATTGGTGTTCTCCGGGTACCAGAATTACATTGGCAAGTAACTGCTAACCAGTGCGGAATGACACCTCTGCAACTCGATTTTAATATGATAATTAAAAGAATATCTTGGCGACCATGAAGATCCTATTTTCATAAGCATTGGAAGCACAAGGGCGTAACTTATTCACCACTACCACTACCACTACCACCACCACCACCACCACCACCACCACCACCACCACAATCAACACCGGCAATATAATGGTAAATGGACCTACGTAGAAGAGTATACAATGTATTGCGCAATAGAAGCAATGGATGTTTTTCTCAAAAATGTACACAAGAGAAATATCGCTTCTCTAAGTTAGCCGAGTTGGGAAGGCGTGAAGGGTTATCTTTACTTTAAGCATATTTACGATAGGGTCACAAAAGCGATGTCAATGCTAATGAGGTAGCAGATTGTAGAAATGGGGACGAATCGGAACGTATGAAAAAGTCACTTCTCAAGAGCAAATGTACTGGTACAGTAATGTTTATTACGTCCAAGACATGTAGAAATCAGGTGGGGGTGGCGTAATGGTCTCATAAAGTTTCCGTCTTCTATAAAAGGATAACAGGACAGACAGCTCTTAGACACTGCTGTATCAACCTCACGCTGCTCTGCAGCTAAATTTCTTATTAAACATATTTTCATATTTCATAGGACTTGGTCTCTGTACTTGAAACTTCGCTCACCATCACGGTCGTCCAGAGAACTTAGCTTCCCTGCGAACTCAATATATTTGCCTTTTGTATTGGAAGCATTTATAATTGCCTGTAAGCACTGCCGGTAGCTAAACACACATGTAACGAAAGACATTACAACAACAACAACAACAACAACAACGACAACGGCGACGAAGATGACGTCGACGATAACATCACCGCCCGCCCCACAAAAAAACTCCCCTCACGGTTTTCTCTCATAGACAGCCTTAATTATTCCTAGCCTGACATTACTACGTCGTTTTTTCATACAGGAACACGTCTGAGGATCCCTATATCGCGCCGTACAATTACCGGAGTCGCAGGGTAGTGGGTTTATAATCGCACTGCACGCCCTCCCTCCTCCCCTGCCCCGGCGCCGCTGCCCCTGCTGCGGCCACGCGAATCGGAGTGTCGAGCCCTCAAGACGGCGGTCTTCGCGGTCCGCCGCCAACGGCGGGCTGCGCTAGCGGCGGCGGCGGCGGCGGCGGCGGCGGCGAGGGCGGGCGGGCATAGCGCGGTCGCATACCCCGGGGAGACCGCAGACGCCCGCGGCGGGGGCGGGGGGCGGCGGGCGGGCGGGCAGCGCGTCGTCTTGAGGAGGCGGTGCGCCGCGCGCTGGAGCTGCGCCGGAAGAAGGGCGGGAAGCGGCGAGTGCGCTGGCGCAGCAGCGGGAGAGGGGGCGGACGGGGCCGGTCAGCCCACGTGGGAGCTGTTGGTGGCCGCGGGACGCAAGAAAGGTGGAGGAGGGGGGAAAGACGACAGATTGACGCTGGGGGACGCGAAATAAAATTGGTGGTGACGGCAAGGCGGTGCAGCGGATAGGGGGAAGGGGTAGTGAGCAGGAAGCAGGAGAGTAGGATATGAAGGATGGACAGGGGAGAGGGAAGGAGAGGGATAAGGGGAGGGGAGCAAGAATTGGGACTACGAAGATAGAGACAGAACTGGACGAGGGTGAGTGGAAAGGCTCCGTATTTTTATCGGCGGGATGGGGCGACTGCCGTGACAGGGAGGTTTCTCAGGGAGTCTGAGGTAGGTGCGTGGGGTGGTTGAGATGGGGATTAAATGGCGGGGAGATGGAGGAGGGTAAGTGAGTGGTGATGGAGAACGAGGAGCAGAGGAGGCGAATGTGATGGGCTGGTAGGGCGTTCAGGGGTTGAGGCCGAAGCTGGGGAAGTTGGAGGCGATGAAGTGGAAAGGAATGCGGATGCTGGGGGCCGATGTCGCTGGATTGGAGAGCCTGGAGGCAGATGGGTGGTGGCGGCGGGGTCGCAAAGGTGGAAGTCGACAGAGCAATGGATTGCAACAAGGGGTGTTGGTGAGGTTGGCCGGGTAAAGGCGGGAGATGACCAGCAGAGGCCGTAGTTGAGCTGGGCTGGCGGAGCGACCGGTTGAGGCGTGGAAACATGGGGACGGGCAGTGAGGAACGTGGTGTGCGCGTGGAGGCGGGCAGGCACGCGGTTGGAGCCAATTTACGTGGGGCTGACGAGCGTGAGGGTGGAGACGTCGTAGGCTGGGGTGGAAGCTGTGTGGAGGCAGATGAGCGGACCAGATAGCGCCACGGGAGCGGCAAACCACGACGTGCGTGAGTCTGCATCTAGACGGAGAAGAGGAGCAGAGGTGGTTAGGTAAGAGCGCTCGTTGTAGAGTGGGGGGGTTAGATGTGGGGGAATGGGCGGGAGGCCGAAAGGGTGGTGGGATGTCTTTAGGGTATGTCAGGCAGGGAGAGAGGAGGGGTAAGTAGAGCGGCGAATGTGGAAAAGGATGTTGGAAGGCGGCTAGGAGCAGGCGCGTACGGCGCAGAGGCGGTTGTGAGATTTGAGGTAGAAGCCGGAAAGGGTGGAATGGGCGGGGAGGCATGGGGGTGGGTGTGATGTAGTGTGTTGGAGGGAGAGGAGAGATGGTTATAGAGCGCGAAGGCAAGCGCTATGGGTAGTGGACGACGGCGGAGGCTGCAACGTGGGATGAGGTGTCAGTGGCGACGAAAGCGAGTGAACGAATCTTCGGGCAGAGAAAGCCAACAGGGATAGGTGGGTGCGTGTGGTCCGGCGGTGGCGGAGAGAGGGAGAAGCCATGGAAGTGGGATCGGGAGGGGCGTGAAGGTTGTGGGCTGGAATGGTAGCGGTAGAATGGGCGGCTGGAAGGCGGTGGAGAGTCAGACTATGAAGAGGGATGGGTGGTGGAGAAAGGTGGAGCCATAGGGTAGGAAACTGATTGGGGCAGATGTGGTAGGGAGGGAGCGCCAGCGTGAGTGAGGAGGCGACGGCGGCGTGAGGTCGATGGTGCATCTGTGTGTCGGAGAGCGAGGAGGAGTAGAGATGGTGCGGCGGGAAGTCGGCGAGCGTTGGAACGGAACGGGTGGTGGGGGCATGAGGAAAAGGCGTCTGCCGGTCCGGCGGAGGCGCCGCGATGCACAGGCGACGGCGGGCGGGCGGTCGCCCTCGGAGTTTGGGGGCGGGGACCCCCTGACCGCCGGCCGCCCGTCGCCCCCGCCGCCCGCCCGCCAGCCCCGCTGCCGCCGTTTTCCGGGCCGGGAGGAGTGGGGCAGTCGTGCGTGCGATATGTTCGCGCCCCGAGCTGCGCCCCGGCCGACTTCAGGAAGGGAGAGGAAAACGGGGGCTGGAATTAATTTCGTTTCGCCGGCCGCGTACAATAATTCTATCGTAGGTTTATAGGTTTAATAATTGCGAAGAATGTTTATGGTTTCTCTGGAAATTAAAATGCCAAAGAACAGGGCAATGACGGTTTTTGTAGAGACTGGCATGGAATAAGTGCTTTTGTTTCTTTTGTCTTACCGTTGGAGATAATTTTCAAATTTTCGTTTCACGTCTTTGAATTCGCGTGCGAAATTTAGGGGGAGGAAGGGGAGCAAAGTGGAACGAATATGGTTTATTGCTCTATTACAAGGATTGAGCTTGACTCGAGTAATTTCAATCCCGTATAAATGAAATAAATGTAAAGAAAGATTATTGAATCAGCGAAGCAACGTAATGAAATCGTGAAAAATATTTTTTGTCCCATTGTGAATATGCCGCTTTCTCCGTTCACGTGGATAGTTTTCGTTCGTTGATAAGTTTTGCATCCCTTTTTAATTTCACTATTCCGATAACATAACATAAATTCATAATTATATCACTGCCATCAATAATTAATTTATCTTAATTTCCGTTTCTTTAGAGTCGCAGATTTCTTCACAGTTCTCTTCTACAAAACTTGAAAATTATATTGTCATTCTACCTATTTATGGTGCAATTGAGTCGAGAGAGATTAATATAGATTTGATGTTATAGCGAAATGAACAATATTATTCAACGAGAGAATTGTGGCCCGAAACAGGTTTAGGGAAATGACAATGTTTCTTATTTTTGACATTAGGCCAACCCCATCTAAAAAAACTCGAGGACAAATTTATTTTCGAAATTTCGAAACAGGGTTATAGGAAATTCTCAATTCATGGCATCCAAGTACGGCAAATACAGCCAGAAATTTTGGACGGTTCTTGGATAAGGAATCTAAGAACATTGCCTTCCTGTCTCTTTTGTAGACCGCGTCTCTTGTAGATTGGGTTATATTTATTTAGTTCCGTCTATTATATTAGAGACAAGTTCCTAGTGCTTGTTTTTGACAAAATACAAACTAAGCATTAACAAAGCGCCTAATACACGTACACATAATGCGAATCAAATAAGATAACCATCTGAAATAAATGGCATCTTTTAGCTCACTAGAAGAGCGGGGAGTTTAGATCTTCCCAACCAACACCGGCATCCCTCAAGAAACGTCCTAACTATTTAAACGGAGGCAGCCTAAGCCTCTTTGCTCGGAAGAGGCGCGCTAGTAGAGGGGAAAGCGGAGTTTCTGTGCTCTGCCCCGAGACATCAGGTAGGCCGACTTATCTGTTTCCCTCGTTCGACACACTCAAAGACATTACGCAGCGTGTGGGAAGTTTGAGGTTGGAGAGCAGTGGAAGGAGCAGCGAAGCAACGAGCAAACAATCAACCAAATAATCTTCCCTATAAATACGCTAAGAAAGAATTGTGGTATTTTTTCGTGATTTCTTTCTTACATTAGTTTTCTTTGTTTCTTCTTTCTTTCATCGCTTGTTTCTTTCTTTCTTTCTTTCTTTCTTCTTCCTTTCTTTATTTTTTCTTTCTTTCTTTTTTCTTTCTTTCTTTTTTTCCTTTGTTTCTTTCTTTTTTCTTTGTTTCTTTCTTTCTTTCTTCTTTTTTTTCTTTCTGCCACACGCGTTATGCTGCAACATACTTTCGTGTACCATCGTGCATAACTCGTAAAGGACACATTCTGGGCCCTTAAACGTAATTTCCTTGTCGGTAGAACACAAGTTGTGCCCCCTATGCCGTAATCTACAGAATAAACCTTTTAAACTTTGTAGTACATTTTTACAGGGAAACTTTACTCTGTACAAGAGTTGTCAGAAACTTTCGAACTGGGTTCAACTATTATTATTTAAATATTTTTTTTAAGGACATCATAATGAAACTAGAATAAATTTTCCACCTGAAGGTGTTCGTGCTGGGTGTTGCATTTATAATACCAAGTGAAACCTGTGTAATTCATATCTGTATCTAGGAAGATTACAAAGTCATTCCTTTCTTTCATTATCTTACACGAACATTTTCGTTAAGATACTAACATTTCTCATTCGATTTAAACACCATTCTCTTGAAGAAGAAGAAGAAGAAGAAGAAGAAGAAGAAGAAGAAGAAGAAGAAGAAGAAGTAGGTAGAGGAGAAGGGGTAAAAATGAGAGGGAGGATGGGGAAAGAGGTCGAGAAGGAGGACGAAGGCGAGGATCAGGAGAAAGCAATGAGTAGCAAAACGAAGGCCATTGTCTCAAGGAATCCCTACAGCAGTAAACCCTGGAAGCAGCGGGAAGCGTGGACGCCTACTGCGGGCCCTGAAGCGGCCGCGGAGGCGCCGCTCCCGTGTCTTTGTTTTGGCTCTCTCCCTCCCTCCAACCCTCTCTTCCCCTCCATCCTCCTTCCAGACGGCGAGCGGAGAGGGGTCAGATTAAACGAGTGCTAACGCGAGACCCTTTAGCCCTAAGAGTGAGAGGAGAGGGAGTCGAACATGCCCTTTGAGAGGCGACCTGCAGCCGCCGTGTCCGACCTGGCGAAGGGACGGGGGTGGGGATTAGGAGAGTAAACATGGGGACCAAGGGGAACCAACGAGGACGGGCCGTGGCGGGGGCGGGAGGGGAAAGGGTAGGCGAGGGGTGGGGCGCGCGTCTTCGGCCGCTGCGGTCACCTCCTCGTTACGACCAAGTGTTTGCCAGCGTCGGGGATTACGCTCGGCCGTAAAGCGCCTTACTCGCCGCTCGGAGCGCTGGTGTCGCGACGGCCATATTTACGCCGGAGCTGCCTTCTGCGGCGTTGCCAGGTCGGCCTCTTTTGCTACGATGGGTTGCGGATTTTTTCACTTGGGTCTGTGAGAAGAACTATTACGCTTTTACCAGAAAATACGGATTACGTTTTTTAATGTTTAATAAATGTCAATATGTATAATGAAATCGGCTAAGGCGTGCAATCTAATTGAATTTTTGAGATTAGAAAATTATATTCCAAAGTTTATTACTTTGAAATTTCAAAGTTTATTTATATTCGTGTTTGTCGATTAATGTTCTGATATTCGGACAACACAGATTTGTTGAGATTTCTGTATTAATTGTGCTTTTAGTATTCAACTATTTTATTAGTAATCAACTTTTTCATTAGTATTTTAAAGTAGGTTCTCATTTTTCTGAAGAATTTCTAAAATAATTAATTGAATT